TAATTCAGGAGGGGGCTTTATTCTCCGTCTGGGAGCCCTGTGTGAAGTGAACAAGATCAAATATGGATCTCCTTCACCCCCCTCAGAAAAAGAAATAAAATATGGAAGCATTAAAAAAAAACAAACCTAATCCCCAAAGGGCAGTATTTCCAATCAGACAACAACACACACATCCCCTCCCCCCCCCCCCCCCCCCCAGCCCCCTCCCCTCCCTCTTCCCTCCCATCTTCAAACGAAATCCAAGGCAGTGCCAGGTTTGGTGATGAACGAAGGGGATTGGGGTTGGGGAGCACCGGCTCCTGCGTTAGAGAAACGGGTTTTTTGCTGAGAAGGAGCAGCCTGGGCCGCGGTGCAGGCCATGCCGAGCGTTCCCGGGGTCGCCATGCCCGAGGCCAGAGCGCAGCCGCTGTGCCCAGCACCCAGGTTCCGCCAGAAGGGAGGTCCCGGGGCACGGCAGCCTCCGACGGTGCTGGCTGAGGGGGTCCATCAGGCCTCCAACCCACTCCCCCTTTTCCCCCTCTCCCGCACCCCTTTCTGCCAAACTGCGGATTTTCACCTCCCCGGGCTAGAATCCGGCGGGATTTCGCAGCCCTCCTTGCCCGGGTTTATGCCTTTATTTTTCCCGTCGGTAATCCAACCTTTGCCGCTTGAATCCTAATCCTTTAAGTCTGATCCGTTTGGGAAAGGCTGTTGCCTTCCCCTGCCCCGTGCTCACCTCCCTACAGGGTGTGGAGGGGAGCCAATCCCTGGGGTATGGAGCACCGGGCCGGGGGCGAGGAGCTCCGAAACGCTTCTGGTGGTGCTCGGGGATGGGAAAACGGGACCAGCTCTGTCCCCGCTCTGAATCCAAGCACGGGGGACAAGCAGAAGGCCGGGCAAGGCGGCCGCTGGCCCGGATGCCCCCGAACAGCAAGTCCCTGGGGTCTTGACCCAGCCTCTCCTTTCTCTGCGGCAGGCGGCAGACAGGTCGGGTCCCGCGGCCTCAGGGCCGGCTGATTTAGGGGAGCAGGCTAATTTGGGGGTCTGGGGTGGGCATGGGAGGGTCCGTGAGGACTCTTCCCGCGGCCCGGGGCCCGGCCCCAAAAGCAGCTCTCGGAGCCGGCTGGAAGGGCTGCGACTGGGTCAGTCCCAAAGGGCGCGATACAGCGAGGTCCCTGCTGCCTTGGGGTGGAAACACAGAGAGAGAGGAGAGAAATTAAAGATAAAGGTGAAAAAAAGCCAATTCCGGTTTGTACCTGAAATCGAGGGAAAGCGATATATCTACCCAGCGAGGTAATCCAGGAAACGGCGTGTTTCAAAACGCATGACAAATGAGGGGCACAAGCCGGAGCTTCCTTCTTAAGCTAGTGGGGGGGAAGGGGGGGGGGGAGGCAAAAAAAAAAATATAAAAGGGCTTTTTGTTTTTCAATATGCAATTAAATAACCCAAATCCCAGCTATTTGGAAATGGGGGTGAGCCAAAGCGAGCAAGCTGCAAATCTTCGAGAGGAGGCTTTATTTACTAACCCGCCCCAGCCACGTGTGGTAAAGTTCTGAGGGTGCACGGCGGCCCGGCATCTCTTCTCTGTACACACAGAAGTCAATAGATCAGAAATCCAAATTAACTCCAAGCCTGTTTTCCATACATCCAGCCACCCCTTTTCTTCCTTTTTTTTTTTTTTTATTTCGTGGTTATATTGAATTGTAGTGTTTGCAGCCTCATTAAATCCATTCCAAGACAAAAGAAGAAAAGACTGGGGGGGAGGGAGGGGACAGGAGAGGAGGGGGAAGAGGAGAGGGAAAGGGGGGGGGGGGAGAGAAAAAGAAGAACAGATAAAGAAAACAAATAAAGCCCTTTAACTAGATCTTCACATAAATGTCACAGTTTCTCAGCATTTACGATTTGGCTGTTTAGCATAAAAACACTTAAGGACAAGATTGAAGGCTTTCCGAGAGATCTGGACAGAAGTCAAAGCTATCACTCGGAGGTAAGAAAAAAAACCAACCGCCCAAAAAACAAACAAAACAAAGAAGGGATGGAGAGGTGGGGGCGGGAGGTGGCGGAAAACAAGTGCTCTTCCAAATAATACTAAAGAAAAGTGAATTTCATTGTAATTCATAGGCTTGTTCCAAATACCAAGAGAGAAAGAGAGAAGAATAGAAGCGCACAGATGCCCCGACGAAGGGAGAACAGCTCTGCTCCCATTGTTGTGGAGTTAAACAGTGGAAGGGAGGGTTAACCTAATCCATCAAATTGTCTGGAAATTGTGAAGAAAATTCAAAAACCATATGGTCTCCAAGCGCTCGCCTTCTCTCTGCTGCGGAGGGGCACGCTTGTTTCAGCATGGCGAACCGCAGGAGGCTGTATATGCTCCATTGTCGCTTGTCACTTCAGAGAAGAGGGCTCATTTGTCCCCAGTTTTCATGCTTTACGCTAAAAATTACAACCCCATCCATTCTCAAAGAGGAGAAAGATTTATTTAGCCTCGGAGAAACTGGACCAAAAAAAAAAAAAGGAAAAATCCAACCCACAAACCAAGCCTGTCTTATCCGGACACTTCTCCGCTGAGCTCTGCCACTGTACACCAGATTTGTCTTTCTCACATAAATTTTTTGCAAAGAATAGGGAGAAACACACGTTGCTCGGCTCCAAGGGCAGGTCACGCTGCCAGGGGAAAACACATTCACTAGAGCAGTGATTTTGGAGAAAAGAAAAAAAAAAAGGAGAGACAGGAGAAAAAAGAGGGGAGAAAATATAAAAGGAACGGGAGGAAATGAAGCATTTGCCACCCTTCTGTCCCCGGAGCAGCAGTTTTGGCCAGAACGGGAGGTCCGCCCCCCGTGCCCCTCACCGCTCCTTTTGTGCAGAACGATGGTAACTCCTTCCCCTCGTTCGCATTTGGGTTTTCTTTATTTATCCCCACACCACCACTTTTTCCTTTCTAATTCCGGGCTGGAAATACCCTGCTGAAGACGGGAGCTGCTGGGAGGGCCGATGGCTCCGGTAGCCCAGGTACCCCCGCAGCTGTCCCGCAGCCGCCGCGCATCCTCCGCCCCGGGAAGCGCCTCCCGCACCTCCTGCCCTCCCGTTCCGCCGTGTTCCGCCTCTGCCAAACCGCTCCCTAGCACCAACCTGACCAACAACCACAAAAAACCTCCTAAAGTTCTCGGTCCCGTGCTCCTCCCCCGTCATGTTCTTACAGGTCCCGCCGTTAAAGTAACTTTAAAGGCAAACGGGATGGGAGCTTCCTGGTGGGGGGAAGAGTCTGGCAGAACCTCGGGCCGGCAGAGCGGTTGGTCGTTCGCAAAGAAGGACGTTAAAAGTCTATTAAAATGGTAAAGATTTTATTGTATCGGAAAAAAGAGCTATCTGTACAATTCTAAGAGACAGTAAATAAAGCGACATTGTCCCTATCGGAACTTAAATAGCAGGCCTTTTAAAATTTGTACAATTCAAACAAAAACAGGTCTTAAATCTGTACATATATTTAATTTATAGTGTAATATTTAAATGTATTGATCTTGGGATTTGTCCTTTTTTTTTTTTTATTTCCATAGCATGCAAAAATTCTAAAAAGAGTAAAAAATAATTCTAGGATTTTTTTTTCATTTTCTTTCTATTTTTTTTTTTGTTACCACCTTCATATCAAAAATACGAAAGGCAGCTTTTTAATAAAAGCACAACAATAGCAGAAAATGGTAAAAATAGCTTTTAATTGGTAAAATGAGGCAGAAATTGCATTGGAGACAAATCTCTATGCTCTAGGAAAAAAAGAAAGTATATATTGTTTTCAGCTTGCATTATAACCCATCCCCAAGTTCCCAAGATTGCGAAAAAAAAAGAAATGTTTTTAGAAGGAAAAAATAATAATCACTTCGTGCACATCTGAAACATGCAAGGAAAGGCAAGTGGCTAATTTTTGCTGTTGCCGTTTTGAGTCTAACTTAAATCTTCCCTAAAGTGGTTCGTTTCGGAAGTCTTTGAAAGCAACTGCCTACCCAAAGAAGCCGAGTTTATTCCAAGGTTACTCATCTCCCTTACAGACAAAATAATGTCATTGGTAGCTATTAAAAAAATAAAAATCAAAGCCTCAAAAAGAAGGGGGGGGGAGGGAAGGAAAAAAAATCCAATATATACGTTTAAATATTTATACAGAAGTCGTCCGTAATTGCACCATTCCGAAGATGTGACAGGCGGAGGGATATCGACTCTACCCTAAATTAATTCGTGGTTGTGTGAGTGTGTGTATGGTGGGTTTCTATTGCTTATTGCTCCGACCGACGGGAGCAGCCGCCTCGCCGCGCTGCCGGGGCCGGGCTGGGGGGCCGGGGGTGCCAATCTGGGGCTGGAGGGGGAGGGTGGGCAAGACGGGGCTGGGGGGGGGGTGCTTGGTAGTGGGGTAGGGGGGAACCCCGCCGGCCACCCCTCAGTCATCCACGTCGATCTCCACGTCCTCCTCCTCCTCGTCCTCCTCCTCCTCGCTGTCCCGGCGGCTGCGGGGCCGCTCCGTGGGGGGCGAGGTGGGGCGGGGCGGCGGCGGGGCTCCGGGCTCCCGGGCGGCGGCAGGGGGTGGTGGCGGGGAACCGGCCCGCGCCTTGCCCCTTCCCTCGGCGCTGGGCTCCAGCTCGGCCAAGGCTACGATGTCCACGGCGGGGTTGGGGCCCAGCTTTTTGGCCGATTCCACATCGGCCTTCATCTCCTCCAGGTCTCGCTTGAGCTTGGCGCGGCGGTTCTGGAACCAGGTGATGACCTGGGCGTTGGTGAGCCCCAGCTGCTGGGCGATCTGGTCCCGGTCCGCCGGCGACAGATATTTTTGGTAGAGGAACCGCTTCTCCAGCTCGTAGATCTGGTGGTTGGTGAAGGCCGTCCGCGACTTTCGACGCTTCTTCGGCGTTTGTCTCTGCCCGAAGATCGTCATCCCGTCCCTGCCTGCCGACGAGTCGCCAGATTGTCGCCGCTTTCCCCACATCCCTCCAACCCTGAGCCCCCCACACCCCACGCCCCTGCTCCGTCTGTACCGGGGAAGGGGGGTGTGGGGCAGCTGGGCAGAGCCACCGCTCCCGCAGTCCGAGGCCCGCAGTGGGAAAGATGCTGCCGGGTACTGGCCGCCCGGGCGTACCCCTCGTCCCACCCCATGCGACACCCAGTGAGATTGGGAAGGGGGGAAGGAAAAACGGGCCGTGGGGATGAGCGGGGTACCCACCCGCGGGAAGATGCCCCCACACCCCGAGAGAGGCTTACCTTCGGCAGCCTGCAGTACGCTGACTTCCAGCCCCTTGAAGGTCTTGCTGGCCAGCTCTTCCAGGGCGCAGAGGGGGGAGGTTTGGGAGAGCAGCGCCCGGCCGGAGAGCGGCAGCCCGGCCGGGGGATGCTTTTCGGCGGCGGAGAGGAGGTGGGCCGTTCCGCAGAGCGTGTAACTCCTCCGCACCGAGGGCTTGTTGAGGATGTCCTCGATGCTGAAGGGGGTGAGGGGCTTGTTGGAGTTGGCCGGCGGCGGGAGGTGATCCAAGGGGCTCCGCCGCCGTTCTTCCCCCGAGGAGGGCTTGGGTTCTTCTTTGGAAGTCATGGTGGGGCCGGGCCACGCGGGGCTGCCTTCCCCACCTGCGACGGGGATGCGCTGCCGCGGGGAGAAGCCCCCGGCGGGACCGCGGGGCGACGGAGACTGCGAGCAAAAGTTGAAGCCCACCTCCAACTCCGGCGGAGGAGTCCCGGGTCCTCCCGGGGAGAGCCACGTCGGGCGGCGGGCAGGGCGGCGGGCTGCGGCCGGGAGCGGAGCTGCCGTCGGTCCCTCGCCAGGAGGTGGTCCTGCCGCACCTCCTGTCCCAGGGTTTTGGGTCGGGGATCTTTTTTTCCCTCTCTCTCTCCTCTCGCTCGCGCTCTCCTCTCTCTTCCTCTTCCCAGCTGCTATTTTAAGAAACACCCCAAATCACAGCACTTTCCCTGCCCCCCCCCCCCCAAGCGAATACCCCTCCAAATAATTAAAAGAAAGAAAAAAAAAGAAGGAAAAAAAGACAAAAATTCAAAAGCAGACTTCGGAGAGGGGGAGAGCAGCCCTCGCACCGAGCCTTCGGACCAGGGGGAAAGAGACGAGAAGAGACGGGGTAATTGACTATTGCTAACAAGTTATTGTTGATTGGGAGGTAATCAATTATCTTCAATGACACTTTTCGCCCTCTCTCTCTCTCGCTCCCTCTCTCTCTCCCTCTCTGTCCAATGCAGGCTTTTGCAAGTTCGGAGACCCATTAATTAGGAGGCGGTATGGAGGTGGAGCCCACTTGAATTATAATGCTGAATGCACTTGTCATATTCTGGCCCTGCTATTTGTTTGGACATATATATTTTTAAATTACATTACAAAGCAGCCTTTATTGCATCAGGATAACACAGTATAGTGAAAAATAAGAATAAGCGAAAACAAAACAAAACGAAAAATATCCGGCGGTATCTTTTTTTTCTTTCTTGCCCCTAAGATTTTGATTTTTTCATCTATTTTTACCTCCTGTTAATTTGGCTACTCCGTTATTTTAAATGTTTCTGTTCGGCTCAACCCAGAGCCGTTTAATTTTTTTTAATGAGGGGAAGAAGGGGAGAACCTGGTTCCAGGTAAGGCAGACCTTTCCTTTCCAATAAAATCCGAAGGTTTCCGCCGAATTTGTCGTGCTCCTCTTTCGCAGGGCCCTGTGCCTGGGAGGGCTGCGGGACAGGGCCGGGGGCAGCTCGGCGGCAGGGCAGGGCGCCCACCGGAGGGTTCCGCTGCCGGGGATGCCATCGGAGGGGCTGCACGGCGGGGCGCGGGATATCGGCGGCTTCTTCGGCTTCGTTAATGCCGGATCTGGCGGGCGGTCCCGACCGGGGAAGCGCGCACAAGGGGCAGGCAGCGGCCGGGTTCCGCCGGGGTGTTTCCAGCCCGGGGCCTTTTGCTGCGAGCTTGTGGGAAGGGGTCCGCGGCGGCGAGGCTTGCTGAGCCCCCAACCCCGGGGGAAGCGGGCCCGGTCCGGCCCGGCTCTCTGTGGAGCCAGAACGTCTCATGATTATTTTTACCCGGGCCACCAGCCCGCTTCTGTGTCACCGCTCTGCAGGGCGGGCGACAAAGCCCTGAACCGGGGGGGGATCGGCGTGACCTGCACGGGGGCACCCCCTGCTCACGGAGGGCCGGGATGGGGCTGGACGGGGCTAGCGGCTGCGGCGGGCGCACGACGGCGCCGTGGGTCGGGAGGAACGGCCAGGGCCGGCTTCGGCCCTAACTTTGCCTCCTCACCTTGATGGGCAGGACGAGGGCGACTGGCAGCTCCCAGGCCGCTAGGTACCAAACAAGCACAAAAGAAGCAAATGGCTCCTCTCCTTAAAGCGCCCTCTTCCCATTTTTTATAGCTCTCTGGGAGTCTCTTTATGCAGTGACCTATTTTTAAAGGCCTATATTGGGTTATTCATCATATCAAATACTGCGAGGAGCTGGGGGGGAGCTGGTGGGTGGGGGGGGGAGCGAATTACACTGATTCTAAATCGCCCGGCTTCTTTGCT